AAGACAAAGTTTTCTAGGCAAAAAAGAAGATACATATTTTAATAATTTAAAAAAATTGTGATGTTTATATTTTTGAACTCTTTTGAATTCTCTATCAAATGACCCAAAAAGTAAAAATGACTTCCATAAGAAAAAACAAAGTTGATGATTGTCAACCGGAGACGAAACGTCGGATTCAAAATTTGAAACTAGTATCTTGTAAAGAGAAAAAAGTGGTCATCATAATGTGTCATTTATTTCGAAATATCTTTTTAAATAGGTAACTTCAATAAAAAATAAAAACCATTTTACAAAATTTCGATGTTTTCCTGATATCTCCGAAAGTAGTCGGAATTTTTTAAATTTCAAAACTGCATTTTGTTAAGCATCAAAATACGCAACTTTACCAAATTTAAACTACCTATCTATCTCTTACAGTTCCCGACATCCCCATTGTGGCCCTCGAATTTGAATCACCCTGTATACATCGTTCAATAAGTCCCGGGTCCCTGTTGCGTTGCATTTGTTTGAACTGCTTTTGCTTTTATCATTCCACCGTAGTTTACGAACGTGAAAATGAATACAAACAACATTGGGTTTTTATTAATCGCCTTCTAAAACGGTATCCGACACCAAAATAATGACTGTGTATCATCAACTCCTGGATATCATCTTAAGATGCATGTATCACAGCCGACAATGAATGCAAGTCAAGCAGTTTGTAATTAAAGAATTCATTTTTTTCTTTGTTCGCGTAAAAATATACCTACGCAGTATTAAACTAGTGACAGTAGTTTGTTCTTTCATATTTCTGTCTATTACGTACTGCAAATGATAGTATACTAGAACATTATGCGTTACTCCTTAAATACATCAACCTAAAATAGTTTGGCAAATGAGGAACTCGATTAATATTTCGAAACGTGTATATTTTTAGTGCATTTTTGCAAATTTATTTGTAAAAAGTAGCTTTTAATCTCTGCTGGCTGGCTGGATGGCTGGCTGGCGGGCTGGCTGGCAGCAAATGTGGGCGCGTAGAAAGGCAACGGGTGTACGTGTATCTACAAGGCCGTGTAATTTGTCAACCTTAAGAATAGGGCTACATGATGTGGGGTTGGCGACATCTGGGCGTCATCCTCGAGCGTTGCGGGTGAACGGGAAGTCGGAAGTGGGTACCAACAAAGGGAATGTGGTAACCCCCGACGCGATCTTCCTGATGGTGGAGTCAAATCTTCAAACGTGAATTGGAAGGGAACGGGACATCGGAAGTGGATACCGACAAAGGGAATATGGTGGCCCCCGTCAAGATTTTACTGATGGTGGAGTCAAAACTTTAAACGCGAATTGCGGGTGCACGCGAAAAGTGGGAAGCGGGTACCGACAAAGTGAATGTAGTAGCCTTCGACAAGATCTTTTATTGATGGTTGAGTCAAAAGTGGCTAATAGAATACTGATCTGCCACACAAAAATGCAGTGAAGTCCCTTCGATCTCACACGAGGACTTTGATAATTTTTTGTATTACATATTAGGCGCTCTATAAAATTTTCTATCATGATCCTCATCCATTCGGTTTAGTACAAGATCCCACATTCCCACATAAGGTCAACCTTCGCTGATCTGTTTACCGACTGAGATATTTTTTAGTAATTTAAATATGTAATTGAACACCTTGGAAATGGATTGTCCAAAAAAAATTAAGCCAAGAGTACCGTTAATTAAAATTAATGTAATATTTCTGTATATTTCTATCACATGGAGAGAGAGCGCATGTGCACTTTCTCACATTGATTCGTACATCACGATCAGCTGTTACGCTGCGTCCTTCTCTTTCCCCCGGAACAATACATATGTTTCTCTCTCGCGCGGTACTTAGATTCGCCACAGCCGTACTGCTTCGTGTGAAAAAGAAACATGCAGCACAGTAATTATTTTAATTAAGGGTACTCTTGACTTAATTTTTTAGGCAACCCATTTCCAATGTGTTTGTTTACATATTAAGATCGCTCAAAATTGTATTTCGCTCGGTAAACAGATGGGCGAAGGTTTGTCTTATGCCCAGCTAAAAAAGGATATTCAGGGAATCCAAGCTTCGATGGAATTAAGCACCACGTCTTGAATTTTTTTATTCAAACCCACTCCTATTAAAGTTCCCGTATTATGTTTTGATTTATATCGACTATTTCTTAATGTCTCTATTAGTTTCTGTAAGCAATCGATGAATCGCATAAGTTTCATAATTGAAATGCACATTTTGATCATCACTCATTTTCAAAATCCTCGCGCAACAACACATGCGACTTGCTACATTAAGTCCTATTTGCAGAATTTTGCTTCCTGTATTATTTAACGGTATCGCTCTTCCTCCTGCAGCCGAACGGCATATTATTATGTCGCTGTACCATAATAATGTCTCGCACAAGCTTGAAAATCTTGATATTCGTCATATGTCGCCTGATATCAGACGAGACCAATTTATGCGGTATTTTATGTACGACGGATATTGTAACTTGTTTATTTAAAGAAGGAGTATAAGGAATAACAACTTTTAAAATATCCTCGAGGTGAACCCTCTGGGATATAAGCACCCCGTGGAAAATTCATCGTCTACGTCACATAATCACTATGACAAATTCTAAATTTGACTGGCCTCAAAATGCCCGGAACAGAACTGAATGACTGGCAGATTAGTGCCATTATGACATCCCCTCAGCAAAATGACCGAACACAAACAACCTGTGTATAACTATCATTACAACCTGTATATTTAATTTCAACAGACACAAACAATTCAATTTTGTCTGATCGGGAAAAAATGCCCGACTAGTTAACGACCTATTGGCACCGGTACAAAAACACCACATCACAAATACCCCTGTATATAACTATCCTCTATATGGAAATGACACCGCCAATTACGATAAAAAATTCGAATCTCCTGCATAACTTCAAATTTACCGCAACAAAATGGCCGAGATTCAGAAATTCAAAAATTCAAATCTCCCGCACAAATTCAAATTTACCCCCACAAAATGGCGCAGTCAATCACGGCGCAGCACGTATGACGTCGTAAAAAATGAAGGGGATGACGGGATGATTTCTGCTAACGTGTTTCGCTTTCATTGAATTTTGCATAATAGACATCAAGCGCTTAATTTAAGTATTTTGCAAAGGGATAGCGAGCCTGTATCCTTAATTATATCCATTTCTAGTTGAGGTGCAAATTTCACAGAAAAGAACTACACCTGAGGAAGAATGTGTCTTTGAATTCTTCTATCAAATTTAATAATCCGAACGTGAATTATAATATGCCTCGCGGGGGGCAATTTTTATTGTCTCAGTATTGACCAAAAGAATTTCAATTAAATTAAATTAAAAATATTCGATCCGTTACCAAATAATTATTACCTAAAATAATCATCTAAAGGTAGAAGTTGTTTTGAAGATCTAAGAACCTAATTACGTAGGTAAGTAGACGTCCAATGGGACTTTATGAAGGCGATGCCTTTATGAAAAGTCCGGGCAAAGAAAGTCATTGTTAACCATTTCAAGGCAATGTATGTTTGCTGGTCCTATGTGTGTACAGGATGCTCCATAAGAAAAGAGGTACAATTTTAAGTAGGCGCGCTGTGTAAATTAATGTTTAGTGCAGTGGACCTGAAGAAAGGATTGAACTTTGATTGTTCATAGTCGTAAAATCATCCTAATTGGCGCATTAGAAAAATCAATGAGGAACATTAAAGCACAAATGTTTACTTGTTATATAATCTAACCAACTCCAAACAGTTGCATCAATTAAAACGGTGATTTGTTCATAACTTGATACACCAGACATAGAAGGAATGTCCATTCTCTTATTTTTCTGTTTAAAATTTTGAATAATTTTATTGACGATACAGTTATAAGAGACAATCAACTTCTATGTTCCAAATGTTATACCATCAAGAACTAGAAATTTATTCTATATCCCCCGCGTCAACAAAGATCATTGTAAAAATTCTGTATTGTTTGCAGTATTACATCTTTATAATAGTGTGCGTTTAGGGAATAACACCATAGATATTGTTATATGTCCCTAAGACAGTTTGCAAGATCGTGTGACAATATCCAAGAACTGTAAAAAATTGTTCACAGAATTTTTTTTCTTTTTTATTTCTTTTGTTTTCCTTTGTTTTTTTTAATTTTAACACAACGTATATTTTGTTATATTCTTTATGTACATGAACAAATTGAACATTGTTATTGGGGTAACCTGTTATGTTCATAAATAAATAAATAAATAAAAGACAGCGTTCTGAGAAATTTTTCATCATTTGAAAATTCAAAGAAGTTTCGTATTATCGTCGGCGAAATCTTAATGTGCACGATCCATTACCTATCTTTCCTAATTCAATGTCACTAAAGGAGGATTGTACCCAACCCAATTATATATTAATATTGTCAACTGCAAAAGGGCCGTCGTATATGTATGAGGTACAATTTTGTTTCATTATGGGTTTAAACTTGGTTGAGGTTTAAAAGTTAATTAAGACATTTTATTTTATGATTTGTTAATTGTTAAAGAGCTCATCCTATAGGCAGTTAAAGCCGTTTTGTCTTGCATGAATTTTGACCACCCGTACGTTAGTAAGGGAGGTATTGTATTGGGGTAATAAATGACCCCCCACTTGTTTGACGGAAATACACGTTTTGAAGCACCAGGGATCCGAATCAAACAAAATCTCGATGATGTCGATCGATCTGTCGGTCTGCTGTACCCTCATTTCCTGCTAAATGGCTGAACAGATTTAAACAAATTTGGTACACAAGAGCTAAAAAGCTTTTGGGGAGAATCGCGCATGCGCAAGTGTGTCAAACTCTCATTTCTGAAGAGAAAGCTCATGGAAAACTTCTTGCTGCGATCCTGCTGCGATATACGGCAGCAACACTACTATTTTACGCTCGGCACGTTTTCTCCACGTGCAAAGGGAACCAGACAAAATAATCTGATTACATTATAGTTATAGACTATGCTTCAGTTTTTATTAGGGCACACAATATAAAAAAACTTCGATTTAACAAATTGTTAATATCTTTACCAATTAACTTCAACGTACGGGGCTGTTATCGGAGAATACACCACCTTGTACGTCGTTAGTGGGGCACTCTGTAACTGGGCCGCCCGGACCGGAGCTTGAGGGACGGCAACTAAGGCAGTCTTTGGCACTTCTGGATATGCGTACACTAAATTTTGGGTCTGCTGTAGTGGCGCAACGGGCGCGCTTTGGGGTAGCACGACGAAATAGACGCCCTCCTGCTTGAGAACCGGAGCAGATTTCTGTTGATTGACTGCGCTCGTGGCTACTTTAGCGGGCTGAAATGTTCCAGTTTTGATTACAAGACTGGCGTCTTCAATTACCACTTACCGCTGGAGGATCTGTGGAGGTGACAATTTCGTAATCCACCGTCGTCGGTTCCGCTGCCGCTGGTGGTCCGTAAGATGGTGAAGGTGGACCGTACGATTGCTTTGGTTGCGATTTCGGTAGGTTGAATGGTGCTCCTTGTGGTCTCCATCCACTCGGCTGGTAGGGTGCGTTTTGTGGTGGAGCTTCGGGTGCCGCCTGTTGTCGTGCGAAAGGCCTACCTCGGGTAGGTTGTGCAGATGTCATCGACACCACCAAAAGAGTAAGAGCAACCGCAGTCTGCAATTACAAATTACGCCCTTTTAACGGTCTCTAGTACCTACATCGATATTTTTCCACATGTTTTCGGAATTACTTCTAGTTGATCGTCGATCTAGCATCAGTTTCTTACGTTTGCAAGTTAGCGGTGGAAGGAAAATATTACGATACACTTGGTACTTACCTTCATGATAATTGAATTGAAGTTGATGAACTGACGCTTATCAAAACACAGACGGGCTATTTATATTCGAAGACGAACGTGAGCTACCATACGGTAGTCTGAATTTGATGAGTAACTTAAGAATTTAAAATGCACAATACGTTATAGCATTGGCCTCAAAATCATAAGTTAGTTTATTTCGTAAGATTTCATATTTTAATATTTGACTTTGTTATGATTACATTGTATTGACACCATTACATTTTTTTATGTCCAAGTGTATGCTGGTTACATACAAAATTATTGTTATTACATTATACGTTTCCAAGAACAACCATTGGTATCTCAATTATTGGAAGAGATAGAAATAAGGTTAAATTAACAAAGATAGCATCATTGAAATGTAGTTGAAATGAATTTTCCCATTGTTGTGCATTTTTAGACACATTTTAAGACAAATCTTTTGGTGTCGACAACCTCGATTACCATGTTCAAGTTACTGGCTCTAGCTTTTGTTTGTCCATAGGTGTCAATATTGGTAGCTGTCTCTAATGAACAGTTTTCAGGGTGTTCGCTATACGAAACCGCAAAATTTTCGTTTTTCTCCAAAGGCCTTGAAAACAAAAGAATTCCTCTACTGAAAATCGTATATGCGATTCTTCGTATCTTGCTTTATCACTACCCTGCACGCCGTCTATTCTATGAGCGAAATGGAATTTTTGGGACTCTACCCGTTGAAGTACGTAGCTTTTTTGAGATAATACTTTCAACTGTGATCACGATAAAAAAAACACTTTCTCCAAATTTGTCCCCAGAACTGGGTTAAAAGGGCTCTTTGAGCCGTGCCTGTCGTATGTGGCATATTGTATCACTTTACTCGATTCGGTACTGTAACGGGAGCCCTTTAAGGGCGATTATTTAAATTGATTTTTTAAATTTTTTAAAGTATTTAAAACATGGGTGTGACCTCGATTTTAATTAGATTTTGGTAGTTGGAACGGCTTTAAGGGTTTAAGTCGAAGTTCGGTGGGGTTGCGCGGTTATTAGTATTGAGTATTATAAGGTGTATTCCATACCCCCCAACCCCCAATGTTGGATTCTCTCCATAACCTCGCCACTCTCATTACAGTTTTAGGTACTACGGCATCAAACGTAACACCCAGTATACGTAGAGTATATTTATATGAATATACGAATGGTATCATGGTGACAATGATGGTTGTAGGGAAATTGTCATCGAATTTTCCGGGTCAGTCTAGTGTGAGTAAGGCAGAGTTAATGGGTTATACGTGTCAGTTTTTGTTAAGTTGGATCCGTTTTGTGGCACAGCCTGAGAACTGTTTACTCTGATCGTGCTGGCAGCACTTGCAAGAAAATGCTGACGCCACCTTTCTGCTTTTCTAAACATGGAATTGTGGGAAGTAGATGAAGTCGAATAAAGATGGTCGCTGAAACAGATTAGCAACCATTTTGAAGATGTATTTGTAAAATTAAGAAAAGTGGGGGTTAAACGGTTTTTCGGAGGGCATTAAATATTAGGCGTTCAGCGTGAAACCACGGTGATCTGGCGACGAGAGAAAACGGAAAACTTGATAAACTCAAGCTAGGTGACAATAGGTGGTGTAAAGATTTTTATTTGTTACTCAGTTGTAAACGTTGATTAACAAGACAAAACGCAAACGGGTAAACGTCATGTTTAAACGCTACTGACTTGTAAAACTGACAGCTGACCTGTAAAAATTTTACAAGTTAGTAATCTAGTAATTTCATTGGCCAGAATTAATGGCGAAGTCTCTGTTACATGGATAACATGATATTTTAGACATCTCTTCAAGATCAATTTAAGAACTAATTATTTACGTTTACTATTGTTTACAAATGAGTAACAAATAAAATATTGTACATTATACGCCAGGTAATAGTTTTTACTGTCTCTAGATGACAAGCTCGCCTAACGGCTCGCTAGTCAACTTCTCCTATCGCCAGTAAAAACTCACTTACCTGGCTAATAATGTAAAATACTATAAGACAAGGGTGAGACCTCCCGCAAGGCGTTTTAAAATTGTACATCACGTAACGCGTGCGACTTCAAAATATTAAATACGGAACATCTCATTTTGGGGAAAAAAGTGACTACCGGGAATAAATTGCAAATTACCGACAGCCGACTGTCAAATTTGTGTCCGATGGAAGTTTAAATAGTACGGAAAACATTAAAACTGTAAAATAACTGCATCTTTCTTATAGTTGTGTATTCAATCCATTACCGTAACTCTAAGGGTAAATAAAAGACTTAAATAGCAAAAAGAGCTGCCTTTTCACGTTCAGCCTGTATTTATATATTTTAATTTGAACAGATATATTAGGATTACCACCTTGATTGTAGAAAAATTCGCTGCAGTAAATTAGTCTTCAAAAATTCTCCCCAGAATATTTACAAATCAAACAGAACTTGCCCTAGGTAAACGGCTTATGCTCGTCTTTCTCTTAAAGCTGCAGCTGTTCTGGCAAAACGGAACAGACGCAAATCCGCGTCCTCTTTCCACCAATCGAGAGCACTTATTGTTATCCATTTCTCGTCACTTGGTTATGCAAAAGGGCACCAACGAAGCCGAACGGTTCACTACTAACACCCACGTATCTTGAAATGCACTTGGTTATCACCGTTATACCGACACGCACACCCCGGTACATATGCAATTTTACTCATCATTCCGCAATCTAAACATATATTTAAATCCAAAATGTAAACGGCCCAGTGAGCTCCCACTACAGTACCCCCTTCCTGTTTTTAATAAAAGTGAAAAACCTAATGAGATTTGAAAAACAACCTAAAACACGGGGCTAGTCCCTAAATGGCGATGTCCAAAAATCGTAAACACTAACCTAAGACTCGAAACTATTTTACCTAATGTAACGTTAGTAGTCCTAATGCGCACCCAAGCAAATCTTATGTCAGATAAAATTCGGTCGGAAAGTATCATATATCTCAAACCCGGTACGTTACCGACAGTTCGAAAATGATAGCATTTATTGTAAGCGTTTACATGCTATTTATATCACAGATATTACTTCTGTAACCTACGTCAATTACGTTAGTATACAGGAAATGCTTATGCGCCAACCTTGCCAACAATGTACTTAGTATTGTTTTACTAAGTTTGCAGTTTACTTCCAAGTAGTATACACATTTCCTTATTATTTTGCATTTCCTTGTTATTCTTGAAGATTACCTATAGTTCCTTAGTTTTGGTTGTCGCTTTAAATCTGTTCTAAATGAACATCTTGGGTCGCCAACAGGAAGGTAGGGTGTCTTCTGAATGGTACGGTTCTTGGGAGTTTCGGCTTCCAGCTCGATTCCCGTTTCCTTTTGTGGTGGCTTCCTTGTCCAAATTTTGTACAAACCTTAGGTTCTTCGTAGCCCAGTCCCGCGGTTGCGAAAGGGTGTGCCGTATTTGCCCATGCTGGTGGGAGATTTTCACTTAACTGCTGCAGTGTGTTGAGGTTGAATCGCAGACGACCTAGGCAGCTTTTGCTCCCAGCGGACCAGATTTCTTGCTCGCAATATCCAGTATTTTCGTCGCACCGCTGGGAATGTATAATAATATAATATATAATAATTTCGTATTGTAACGAACTATAACCTTTAAACAAACTTACCTATTAAAATAAAAATACACACCACCCACAAAGCAACTGTCCACCTACCTCAAAACAAATCAAAATTGAAACTTAAATTTTACAATCTCTCCTCGTACACCTCCGGCATCTGGCAGGAGAAAAATCTTAATATTGACTTAAATTGACTTAAAACTTCTCAATTTGAGAAACTCGGTGTCCTCGATCAACTTCCGAAAATTCCAAAGAATTTATTCCAGAAATTGAATCATAATTTCTGAAATAAATCTTGGGCACGCATAGAAAATTATCTGGGTCGCACAAAGGATTCGAATAAATACACAATTGATTAACAATGACAAGAACTTATTCCCAAACACATGAAACAAAATTAAAACAAAATCCCTGAGAGAAAGAAAACCTTACAAAGCTTGTTTGGGCATAATACCCCGCACGCTGGCGGTCGATAACTAAAAGTAAAAAAATCTTAAATTACTTCAGTTTTTTTTCTTTAATAATCCAAATAATCTGGTAGTAAAAGGTTTGCGATATTCAGACGCATTTAACTTCATGTTTTTTAATTGAAGTGGATCTGGTGGCAGAAGCTTAACTTTTAATAAGAAGAGAAGTTTAACAAAACGCCTGAATGTACTACAACTGCTGCGTTTTTAACTCAACAAATCTTCTTCCGTAATCGAACAGCACGCGTTAAACTTCTTACACAACTTGTCTTCAACTAAACAAATCCACACCTCTTAACCGTCGCAAAATCAGCCACAGCCTTGTTTTCATATTTTTTTACTTCCATCAGAAAACCATCTCCTTCTTTATGAATCATACTTGATAACGCCAACTTCGAAGGAACGTGCCAACCGTCCACACTTCTCCAAAATGAAACGCGCCATTCTTCGAAACACTTTATATCTTTATATCGATAGAACACGTGCGTTAATTAATTTCGCTTGATAAAACTATCGCAAACGATCAAATGTGTCCTTACTTCTAACACCTTATCTAAATTACAAAAGCGATAAAATTAAAACGAAAAATTACGCATCTAACAGATTACTAAGAGGAAAAACAAATACTGAAAGACAAATTCAAATAAAACAAACCAATTCTGTGCTAATTCGTAAATAACCCACCAGATATACGCTTGATAATTTTTTTTACAAATAAATCAATTTTATTTAAACAAATTAAAAATTCATAATAAGTTTCTTCCACGGGGATGGTAGTTGGACGCGTTCCCATTACACTGGCCGCGTTGCCACGTTGTATGGCAATACTTATCCTTTGTCGTAAGTAAGTGGTGGCTCGGTCTTCCCCAGTAATATTGGTAATGCGTTTTAGGAAATTTGTTGTAGGAGTGTTTATCGCAAGCCTCCTAATTCATTAAGTAAAATTTTACCACCAACGGATATCAAATTAACTCGTGATTTCCGTGCAATACACACTCCTCCGGATTAGTTAGGTTTAATCTTTTAGCGGAATCGAATACCTATAGGGCAAA